ACTCACTCACTCACTCACTCACTCACTCACTCACTCACTCACTCACTCACTCACTCACTCACTCACTCACTCACTCACTCACTCACTCACTCACTCACTCACTCACTCACTCACTCACTCACTCACTCACTCACTCACTCACTCACTCACTCACTCACTCACTCACTCACTCACTCACTCACTCACTCACTCACTCACTCACTCACTCACTCACTCACTCACTCACTCACTCACTCACTCACTCACTCACTCACTCACTCACTCACTCACTCAGACACATTTCCCTAGATGCCGCCCCGCCCCCTGGCTCTTTTCGAAGAGCACTTCCCAACACTTGTCAGGTTCTTACATTTTCGAAAACACACCTTTCCGTGGCCTCCCACCTTCCCACCTTCCATGGGTTGGGACTTTTGGACAGTAGCATGTTGGGATGTCGGCACTGCTGTTTCTCTTTGGGTTTTGCATTACGTAACCCCCTCCCTCCCCCCCTCCTTTCCCCCTCCTTCCCCCCAGATGAAGCAGTTGTTGGAGGTGCTGGTGGCGGCGCAGGAGCCACCCCCCATGTCGCTACTGGCAGCACTTGGACTGTCGGGGGAATTGCTGGAGGGCTTGCCGGTGGGGTTTGGGGGGTGGGGAAATGGGGGGAATAGCGCTAACGCAGTGGTACGGCAGAACCGTTATTTCAGAGTCCATAACGTGGCCGAATGCAACTCAACTGCAGCAGTGCTACTAGGGGTATGTAGGTATGTATGTAGGTGGGTTGGGGTTTTAGGTTTCTACTTGGCCCGAGGGTTTGTGGACAACTTGAAGCGTCATGGAAATTGGGTGAGGACTGTAGCATTCCAGCCAGCGGCGCCTCAAACATCCAACATTAAGCCTGCTGTCTCGTCTGCCCTAATATTGAACCCGCAGGGCTGGGGTGTGCTGTTTTACGAACGCGATCACGCCGTACATGTACTGCATCGTACACTTATCGACTGGTTGGAGGTGAGTAAAACTCTGCTGTAAATCAGAATTGCGCTTGAGTGCGTGCAATGTATGTATGTATGTATGCATGTATGTATGTATGTAAGTATAAGAAAGAGCACCTAGGCGTGTATAGCTGTGTGTGAACGTTTGGGATTTTTTCGCGCAAACAGAGGACAGGCAGAGGCTTAGGAATGCATGCCCACTGATGCACACACACGCCAAAACACACTTGCAACCCTGCAACTCATAATTTCCCCCCCTCCACCCCCCTCCCCCCTCCTGCCCTCCCTGCCCTCCCCTCCCCCCACAGAACCGGTCCGCTGCCGGGCAGCATTACGTGGACGCGCGGAGGGGCCACGCGCTCCTGGGAAGGCATCTGCTGAGTGCTCGTCCACTGGGAATGTACGGCGCTAGGTACCTGGTGACTCACCTCATCAAGGCGGGCAGTGAGCCGGCGTTGCTGGACGCTGCGCTGCTAGTGAGTGTTGTGGTAGTTGGGTCGGTTGGTAGTTGGGTTGGTTGGAGCTTGGGAAGACGAATTCCAGCTTTGTTCGGGTGGGACGGTTGCGAATACGGCTTTCCAGAATGAAACTTTTGGCGGTGGTAGTAGTGTTGAGGGCAAAGAGTGTTTTTTGAAGGGGACATTTTGTCATCTTGTACTTGTAGCACTTGGCGCCGCGAGTGGTGTGATCTGAGTGAAGATGCAACAAATCTCCTTCCTCACCCAAAATGCCCCGTCCTCCTAGATGTGTTGCTAAGAGCCGTTATAGCTCCACTTGGTGGTTACGGGGGGCTTGTATTGTGGAGGTGTAAATTATTCGGGTATTTATTATTATTTAGGTTATATACTTAGGTGTATATTTGTTTAGTTAAATAATTAACTATGTAATTATTATTTAGGTATTATCATTGAGGGCCATATCGAGACACGTGGGCTCACGTGGGTGAACTGGGAAATATTGTACTTGTTGCCATATGTTTATTATGTCTTGCGGTGTCCTGTCATCAACTTGAAACCTTACCTCCAGAGTATCCATCTCCCTAATCTCATCTCAAACCCTTTTTTCGTTCCACCTGCCCTCTTTTCATCAGGACCTGAGTTACCTGGAGGCAGCATGCCGTACAGGTGACGTGTTCAAACTGCATGCTGAGCTGGCCTCCCTGCCGGCGGAGCGTACGACGGACGTTGTAGCCGATGTCGTACGGTGGTTGGGTCTCAACGGTGCCGTACTGTGGAGCCATCCGCAAAGCGTGACGCAGATTGCGGCGGAGGCGCCCAGATGCTCGTCCGTTTGGCAGGTGGGCCGATCAGGACCGTTGCAACGGTAGGGACGAAATGGGGGTTGGGGGGATGTACGACGAATCACACTGGCGAATGAAGCGCAGATAGCAGAAATAGACGGATATTCCAGGAGAAGATTAAAATGCTGTATCAGGAATATTGTTTCCTGACTGGCGGGAGGTCGGGGCTCAAACTCGCCACACACACCCTGGCAGCTCCCCCCCCTCCCCTCCGCGGCCCCCCTTGCCCCCGCTGGCCGAGCGTATCCCCAAAATTCCCTAGGAAAGAATTCCCCCTCGTGAACCGGTCCTTGGCTTTAGGGACCCTTAGGGTTTTAGGCGCCTGTTTGCGCACCGTGGTAACACGCGGTCGCTGCTCCCGGGTGGGGTGGGGTGGGGTGGGGTGGGGTGGTTGGTGGTTGGTGGTTGGTGGCCCCCAACCGACCATCCCCAACGCGCAGGTGGGCGATCGCTCTGCAAAGAAGAATGCAGTCGACATGCTCAACGAACCGTACTTTTGGCCGTTGGAAGTTATGGCGCTGACTCAGCACAAGGCTGCCGTACCCGACGTGGCGTACAGTCCTGACGGCCGCCTGATGGTATCGGCGTCCCTGGACGGGTCTGTACGACTGTGGGACGCGGCCACGGGGGAGCCCAAGGCGGCGCTGGCGGCGCCGCCGGCGTTGTGTCTGTCGTACAGCCCTGGCGGCGAGCTGATGGCCACTGGCGGCGACGGCGGCGGCGTGTGTTTGTGGGACCCGAGTACTGGATTACAACGTGGAGTACTTCAGGGGCACAGGGACTCGGTGGCGGCAGTGGCGTTTAGTTCCGACGGGGCGCTGCTGGCGTCCGGCGGCAGGTGTGGGGCACGGGTGTGTGTCTGTCTGTCTGTCTGTCTGTCTGTCTGACTGCCCTAACTGATTGTAATAAAGGGGAATAGGTCGTACATTAGTAAGTCGAATACTCCGTAAAATGTTTTTTGGGAAAGTAAGTTAAATTACGAGGGGCAAATCATATTATTATTTCCTCATAATTTTGAAAAGAATTAGATGTGTTGAGAGTATAAGAATCTAAGTATAGGTCTCCCCAAACTCGTTATAAACCGTTAGGGACAAGATGGTTCGGTTATGGCAAACGGAACGCTGTTCCAAGGTGGCGGACCTCAAGGGGCACACCGGGCCGCTGCTGGCGCTGGCTTTTTCGCCCGATGGTGCCGTACTGGCGTCAGCAGCACATGACGATGCCGTACCACGGCTGTGGAACGCAGCGGAAGGCCGGCTGCAGGTGAGTACGGCAAAGAGTCTGACGTGGGGCTTGTTGCTTAGCTGCGTGCCATCCCGCACGGCGTGTGTTTCATGCTCAGCCTTGAGTGTGCTGCCGGTGGTGGTGGATGGGCAGAGGTGTGTATGTATGTTGTTACAGGGTGGTTAACTTCGCCAGCGGCCCCCTTTCCCGGGCAGTCCCTGCTCTCCCCTGCTAGAGGGGCACCCTAATCCGTTCACCCCATCCGACTTCAGAATGTATTCGTTGAGTTCGGCAACTCACCACCAGCATCCAACCAAATCTAGCGGATCAACGGCGCATCAACTTAGTTCCTGGTCAGCTCGCAAGTTGATTTTATCCCGTCCTACACCGTCCATATGATGGGGGGCCACCTCCCATTTCATCACTCCTCAAACACCCGAGGAGCCGGCAGGCGGATTTGAACGTGTATATGTGTGTATGTGTGTGTGAGTTCCGGAGGGGTTAATGGCACGGGCACTTGGGTTTTCAGGGTTTTAGGGTTTTAGGGTTTCAGGCCTCACCGCAACGAAATCCCAAACCCGCAAGAAATCCCAACGAACGGAAATCCCCCCAAATCCCCCCCTCCCGACTCCTGAGAACGGCGTCGTGTTCTCTTCGCGATCACTGCTTTGACGGCGCGAGGGTGTGTCCCTCTGGCACCCCCCACTCGGTGATGTGTGTGCGTGCACGTCCGCAAGTCGCAGGTCACCCCCCGGGGTAGCTCTGTCAACGGGTTGACGGGTGGTTCGTAAGACACGGCCCCCCCCCCAACCCCCCCCCAAACAAACACACACAGGCAGCCCTTGAGGGGCATCGACAAGGGGTCCTCAGTTTGGCGTTTTCGCCCGCCGGCGGCCTGCTCGCCACCGCCGCCGACAATGTACGGCTCTGGGACGCGGCCAGTGGCGCGGCGCGTGGCGCACTGACGGATCACATCTTCCCCGTCGCCGCCGTCGCGTTCACGCCCGACGGCGGTACACTGGTTTCCGCCGATACCTCCCATACGTTGCGGCTCTGGGGCGTTGGCGGCGCCGCCGCAGGTAAAGGTGGCGGCGGCGGCGGCCGACCCAAGGGTCGCGGCCCTCCTGGCGGCGGGCCCGGCGGTGGGCCGCCAGCCGGCGTTGTACCGCTTGCCGTACTGGAAGCGGAATCCGGCGGGCAGCTGTCGGCGCTTGCGGTTAGCCCTGACGGCGGCTTTGTCGCCACAGGGTCGGCGACGGGGGAGCTGCATGTGTTTGCCGTACAACGCGCTGCAGCGGCTGTAGCAGCCGGCGGAAGCGGCGGGGTGTTTACGGTGCGCGCTGCGCACGCCGGGCAGGTGAGTCGCTGTAGGGTTTTCCTCCTTCCTGCCGTACGTTCTCATTAGTCACTCCAACCTTTTAACCCTCCCCTTCCTTTCTTCATTCAAATCATGTAATTTGCATGTGCGTGTGTTTTGATGACCCCCCTCGTTCGTCCCCTCGTGGAAAAGAATCGCCGCCACTCCCCCGACGACTTCCCTGCCGTACACCCTTTGCATTGGATCTAGATTCGCCGTCTGGCCTTCTCCCCGGACTCGAGCTCCCTCGTGTCCGCCTCCGAGGACTGCACACTGAGGCTGTGGGACCCGCGAGTTGCACTGGCGTCAGAGCGGGCGGAGGGAGGAGGCGGCGGCGGCGGAGGGGGAGGACCGGCGCAGGTACGTACGGGAACAGGGGAATGTGACGTACATTCGTACGGATCATTGGCACATATGTACGCATCTCCCGCCTATGGTCCTTTTCGCTCCAGCGTCCTTTTCTCTTTTCCTCCTTAAGACCCCAACATGCCCCCCTGTCCTATAACCCCAACTGCCTTTTCCCAACTGCTGACATTCCTCTTGACGCTGACCTCCTCTCACACTACGGCTCACGACAGGCTAGCGCTGTGACCTTCTCCGTCCACTTCAGCCGCGCCAGTCCCCTGCAACCCCTGGTGGCGGCCTCCGTGGCGGAGGACGGCACACTCAGTCTGCGAGATGGCGGCAGCGGAGACCTGCTGACGGCGCCGCTGAGGGTGCAGGGGGCGCCGCGGCCGTTGGTCGTACGGCTGTCACCGGATGAGGAGACGTTGGCGGTTGGGGAAGTTGACGGTTCGATTCGGTTGTGGGATCTGACAAAGGGAGTCTTAAAGGCGCGGCTCAAGGTAAGACGGAAGACCCCCCCGGGGGGTTGGGGTTGGGGATTGGGGCTGTTGAGGGGCTTAGGGTTTTGGGGGATGGGGGACGGGGAGGGTGGGAGGGTCGTGCAGCTTGTTTTCCTGAACATGTTTACCACCTCTTATCTATCTATTTATCTATCTATCTGTCTTTATCACTTTTTCTCGACTCGCTTTTATAACTCTCAGCCCCAAACGATTATAATCTTCGCATCCACACCTGCACTCACTCACCCTCACCCTCTCACCCGCATGCCAGGAAGCCACAGGTGGTGCACAAATCCCCCTACCCTCCTAACCCCCACCCCACCTCACCCCACCCCCTTCACCCCCCACCCCACCCCACCCCCTTAACCCCCCACCCCACCCCACCCCCNTAACCCCCCACCCCACCCCACCCC